AATGAATAACTGGCATTTGGGTATCACCTGTCGTCGTTTCTATTGTCTTTTGAACTCTATCCTATACAATAATTTAATCTTGTATTTTAGTAACTGTTTCCTTTTTGGATGGATTTTATATTCTTGCCAAGCTACATTGATGTTATGTCTTTGTCACAATCAAGGAAAATATCTCTTTCATTGTATCATTCTTGCATTTCCTTTTGTGTATTCACATAGTTTCGAGTTACAATTGTAACATTTATTTCCTAGTTAAAATCCCTCCCCCTAGTGTATACTGAGCGAACGTGGTTATCACGCCCACCTTCTTTGATTGGCTCAATATGTAGGGGATGATAACTGTCACTTTTTTACAATCCATGGGCTCCTGATTGGAGGGTTTTAGCTCAGGGGTGTGGCTACATTCCTTTATAACTGCTTCCCGAGTCACTGGCCAGGTACCTCTTGACAAAGGCGTATCTAAAACGCCGAAATGCGCGTCAAGATATATTTTTTTAGCCGATGCTATCATACTAAATTGATTTTTTCACTCTATCCTTTTTATTTACCTGGGTTTCCATTGCGTGTGTAATGCGCTGATATTTTTCTTTGATACAGACTTAGGGATTTGGATAGGCTGCCATGAAGCAGCAGTTAGTTTTGCCGTCTCTTTTAGGATAGTTAGTTATTTTAGGGTGACCTAGGGGGTTTCTCTTGTCTCTTCTCTTGGGGAATGAGCTGTTTTTCCCTTCTTTAAGGAAACTTCAATATTTAGACACCCTACAACTAGCCCGGGTGCCCCCTACTAGTTGCCATTAACTCTGTCTGTCCTAGTTGATATCCTTGTGGACTTTGTTTCGGCATTATAACTATTTTCTTTCTATCTATTATCCCAGTCATGTTTCTTCCTTTTTAATGGACTTAGACTAACCTGCGCTGCCACATATTTACCAGAATATTTAGGTGAACCTTTACATATTTACTAAGTTATATGACTCTGCAGAATTAGTCTCTCCCAGGCCTTTATATGTGTTGGTGTTTTCGCTACAATTATACACTATTTCGGTGTATGGTAATAGTACTATTGCTATATACCATTTTAGCATTTTTTTCTAATAAAGGTTGTTTACCCCATTTATGTGACTATTTATATTATGAGGTACTTTCGAATGAGGCTAGGTACTCCACCCACTTTCTTTGTGAGTGGACTCCCTGCCCCATTTTGTCTTTTTTTCTATTAATTGTGGGGTTAAGCCCCTTGTACCTCTGTAACCTTTTTGTGGGGTAGTGGTGATGGTTTCCCTACTCCATAACCCCTCTCTATTTTCTATTTTGATATTTTTATATTTATTGGAGCACCCTTGTCCTCTCTTTTGAGCATGGAGGAATATCTGTAATCTCATTTCATGCTTGTCCAGTGGGGCTATCTGTTGGTGATTTGATCTATACTTTCTATGAGTGCAGACCATTAACAAAGCTCCCTTCTGTTCTGTGACTGCAACAGAGCAGTGGCAGAACTCTACACTCTCTAAAAGTGCAGACCGATATTTATTGTAAACAATATTAGTTTGCAAAATAGCAAATTTAATTTTCAATATTAAAAATTGTAATGACCTTAATCCTGATTATAAATGCATACAGTGGGAATTGTGCGAACATGGTTCCCATAGTTAATGAGGTAATCAGACAGTCTAGTGCCAGTCTGGGCACCAACACAACTTACATGTATAAAAATGTGCATTTCTAATCACTGAAAGAAATAGGTTACAGTAGCAGCAGCAAAATGCCATGCTAAATGATGTTCCTGTAAGATAAAACTGGGAAGATTAGGTGTAAATGGCACAAAATTACAAATATCAAATCTCTGAGGGTTGGAAAATTCCGCCTGCCTATGAAAATATCAATTCTTTACCTGTGCCTGGGAATTACTTAGTTTGTTCCTTGACTACTGGAGGAAGTAGTCTTATCTATATTTCTATAATTTCACCTAGTGATGATTTATTGCTTTATGGTCTGGGTCACTGCAACATAAACTGCAATTTAATTTAATTAATGGATGTTTTCTGTCTTGTCTTTATTTGGGAGTTTATTGGTCATCTTACAGCATTAAGTTCGCAAAAAACCCCAAACATTTACCTTAAAGGGTTTCTGTAATCTGAAACCAGAGTTTTAATAAAACACACTTTTTGGTCAGAGTAACCCTTACTTGCTCGATCCCTCCGAAAAGTAATAATAACCTTACTTCACTGAGACCCAGTTTCACAAACAACCTGATTCTCCGCCACTGACGTCAGGGCGGGAAGGCGTGAAGGAGGGTGGGCTGAGGAAAGATCTTTGGCAGCCCAGTGTTGGGGGCTGTTACGTCATTGGTCGTCCTTCACCAGCATTTTATCTGTTCTGATGACAGACACCAAATATGCACAGAATTAACATTAGCCAGAACATTCTTGTCCTGGCTAATGATGCTGGACCTACAGCTCTGGCAGCTTTAACTCTGTATATGCAGAAAAACTGAAATGTTGTATGTAAAGACTCCAACCACCATGACTGAAGTCGTCATGGTGCTTTAAGTAACCCTTTCAGGAAGAGGTAGAATAAAGTCTAGTGTGATGCTAGAATGACTAATGCTGTGAAGTTAGTTTGTTAAATGTTTACAGTATATTACTGATTCCAAACTGCAAATTATTCATTCTGATTGAGGTTGCAAATACTCAGATCAGATTAAAATGCTGCCTTCGGAAATGTTGTTAAACATACACCCTTATAAACGTATATTTTTTTTAAGAAGCCCATGACAGGTTAAATTATATAAGCCTACCACTACATCAACGCATTCAGTTTGATTGTAACCCAATGTTCCCTTGATACCGTTTATTAGATTGATCCCAGACCTCCATCTCTTTAGACAATGTACACAGGATCGAGAAACATGGTACATGTGACAGTGAGGGGAGCTCCAAAATGAAGTTTGATCCAACTTTTCATTTAATAAACAAAATGCAGTAATATATACACAGACACACATATTTATTTCAACACATTTACAAGTAAGTCTACAGTCATATAAAATTCCATCGTTTATTTTTTTAATTTGACAATTTTTATTTTCATAAATCTTCAATAAAGGGGTTCTGTGGTGTTTATAACTGGTGAGTCCAGTTTTCCACGCCTCCCGATCTTGTCTCAAGACGTGTTGGGGCAGGCTTTTGCCTATTTTACACTTATTAGACATTTATTAGACATTTCTCTTTTTCCTTATCTGCCACCTGCTTTGGCTCGATTAGGGGTGAGATATATGGAATGCACTGCATTATCTCTTGGTCTGATTTTTATCTATCATTCTTGATGTAACCAGTATAGCAGTGCCCTATTTGTACCTCTTGTTTAATATTACAGTATTGTGTCAGGGGAACAGCTGGCGGTGTGCAGACGTCTGCCCATTGATATCCTAAGTGGGAGCTGTGGAGTGTTGTAAATAGTTACTCCACCTGTCCCATGCTTCTGTCTAATTTGTGTCTGACGAGTTTATGCACCTGGCTGCTTGCTCATAGTGTTTAGTGGTTTCTATAGTTTGTATATATTGTTGTATCTTTGGTGGAGAGGTCGATCGCCATTGTCTGCTTAGCACCGTCAGTGCAGCCATAATGTTGTGGTATATTAGGTACTTTTGTGGTTTCTTTAGGTTTTTGGGGAGTAGCTGGAGTAGGAAGATTTCTGGTTTGCGGTCTAGTGTTATTTGTGTGCTTAGGTATATGGTTTTAATAACTTCATTTCAGAAGGTGGTGAGGTCGGGGCATGTCCACCAAATGTGGAGCATTGTACCCTTGTGTTTTTGGCATCTCCAGCATCTATCTGAAGCCTGTGGGTGTGCTGCTTTAATCCACGTTGGAACTAAGTATCACCTATATAGGAGATTGCGGGATAGCTCCATGTGAGAAGCACATTTAGAGAGGGCGTTGTGTGCAAGCAGTATGTCTTTCCATTGTTGTTGACTTAAGGTGTATGTAAACTCCTTCTCCCATGCTGTGATAAATGGGAGTGGTGGTTGGGTTTCTGGAGTTTGTAGTGTTTGGTAAATTGCAGAGAGTAATTTTTTTGGGGGAGCGAGGCGTGCACAGATTTTTTTCTACCACCATCAACTGTTGCCCCTTTGTATCACTTTTGTTGGTAACCTTTTGTTTTTGAAGCCACGAGTGGATTTGCCTATACGAAAATAGAGCTGTGGGATTTAGGTGGAATTCTGTAGTCAGGTCTTCAAATCTTTTAAGTTCTTGCCCCTGAAGCATTTGGTGTAGATGTGTGATGCCATGGCGTTGCCATGAAATTTGGTATTATATGGTAAAGAGCTTTTATTGGGGTGGCAAGAGAGATTTTACCTTTCCATTTCATTTTGCGGCAGTACTTGTCCCATATGTGTAGTGTGAGTGTGGTTGTTGGGAGCATAATTTTGTGCGGGGGTCTCTATTGGTGCGGCAGCCACGCCAAGACATTTATGGGGATTCCATTAGCGTGATGTGCCTCTATGTCCAACCATTGGGTAGCGCGGTCCCTGTGGCTTTCAGCTAGGAGTGGGCTGAGGATTGCCGCTTGGTAGTAGTTGTCTACGTTTGGTACTCCCATCCCTCCCCGTGTTCGTGTCATATAGAGAATATTTTTGGACGTTCTGGGTTTTTTTGCCGTCCCGTATGAACAGCATTATGATTTTTTGCGCCTCTTGGAGAAAGTGTCGCGGCAGTTTTATGAGGAGCTTCCTAAAGAGGTATTGTAGTTTTGGGAGAATTATCAATTTTATAGCGGCTATAAGTTTTGGCATTTGTTAGGAGGCTTGCCTGGCTTTGGCAGGGTGGCCACATGTGCCATTAACATTTCCTGGTGGAATCTGGCCTGTTTGTATGATATGGTTGAAAGCTTTCTCTAAGTATGGAGTCAGTGTGGCTGCAAACCTTTTGTAGTATGCATTAGAGAAGCCGTCCAGTCCTGGTGATTTGCCGGGTGGTAGAGAGTTTAGTGAGTAGGATTTCATTTTATGTAATCGGAGTTTGTAAATGTAATCGCTGTATGTTTGTCACTGTTGGTAGTTTGGAGAGAGCAAGGAAATTCCCAATTTCTATGTTGGTGGGTTGGTGTAGTGTTGTGTCATCTTTGAGGTTGTATAGCATATGATAGTATGTTGCCATGTTGTCAGTAATGTCCTGTGGGTTGTATATTTTCACACCTTCTTGTGTAAGTAGGTACGGGATTTTGGCATTGGATTGTTTTTGTCTGAGTTGTGTTGCTAAATATTTCCCTGCTTTGTTCCCTTGCGTGTATGTTGTTTGTTTGAGTTTTTGTAGGATGTGTGCGGTCATAGCTAGCTCTAAATTATTTAGATGTATCGTGGTGTTTTTGATTGTTTGCTCTCTCTGTGGGGTGGGTTGGGCTGTGTTCGCATTGGTTGTGTCTCTCAATGTCCGCAGTAGAGTGCGGTGTTCTTCTTTAGATAGGATGCATGGCTGATCATGTGGCCGCGTATAACTGCCTTATGGGCTTGGTGTACATCTGGTGTGTTGTTTTTTGTGAAGTAGTCATTAAGTGTGTTTGTCATCTTTTGGACAAAAGCATTATTATGTAGGAGGGTGTCATTTAGGCGCCATGGCATTTTGCCTCTATGTTGGAAGTTACATGTAAGTTCCAGTGTGGTCGGGGCATGGTCTGACCATGTGATGTCCCCTATGTTGCTTCCAGTTACTTGGGATATTAGTGGGCCTGATATGAATATGTAGTCTATCCTTGAGTAGGATTTGTGAACCGCTGAGTAATAAGAGAATGTCTTGTCCCCTGGGTGGCCCAGTCTCCAGGAGTCGTACACTCCGAAGTCTCCTTTTTTTTGTTTATGGCTTTACTTTGTGTTTTTATCACCCTGTGTCTAGGCGCTGTAGGGGTCAGTGTGGTGTCCAACAAAGGATCCAGTGGATGGTTTAAATCTCCACAGAGTACTATTGATGCTGTGTTTGTGGTGGGGGTTGTGGATAATATTGGAAAAAGTTCCTTTGGTTAGTGTTTGGGCTATAGGAGTTGAATATGGTGACATTTGAGTTATTTATAATACATTGAAGCATTACATATCTTCTGTATTTATCTTTTTTCATGTGGAGAAATTCCACTGTGAGAGAGGAGTGTAATAGGATAGAGACCCCTCTTGATTTTGAGCTGTGTGTTGCGTGGTATTGGTAGGGGTAGTCTCGTAAGCCGAAATTCGGCACTCTCATGGTTACAAAGTGTGTCTCTTGTATGCACACGATGTCTGCTTTAATTTGTCTGGCTTCTGCCAGTACCATTCGCCTTTTGTGTGGGGTGTTTAGTCCTCTGGCGTTTTGCGAGTATATTTTCATATTATGGGTTTGTGGTAGGAAGAGCTCGTATGATATGTCTTTGTGTCCTTAGTTGTCTGGTGTGGTGGCTTTATTGACCTTGCATATGTTTGATGGTAGGGTGGGTAGCGGGTTGTTCCGGACTCAGAGAAATGGAGGGGGGTGGGAAGAGGGGTTATTAGAAGTAAGGAACCAACTTATGTACAAAACGACTCAAACCGGGGTCTTGGCACTATGGCAGTGTGCCATGGGGGTGAGCGTCGGGTGATGCCTCTGGTTTTGTGGCCAATAGGCTCTCCTGTTCTTGGAGTCTTAAAATTTCAGAACTTTTACCTTGTGGTGTGTTTATGTTTTGGGTTGGCAGCCTGAGACAGGGTTAACATCGTTAATCAAGCAAAGGGATGGTTTTCATTGACCTCATTTTCCAAGTCTATGCAGGGTTTTATGTTAGCCTCTCCTGTTCTACCTCCTGGTCAGACATTAGTCTGTCAGGTGTCAATACTGTTTGGTTTGGCTAGATTGGTGGTTTCATACCCCGGTGTTGGTAGCTGGTTTATTGGAGTTTGGGCTGTGTCTCGTTTTTGACTCTGGGGTATGGGCATACTATATGTTTTTTGCCTGGTCTGCATTTATAGTGGTCGCCTCGTTATTTCAGTATACCCAATTCAAGCTATACAATATGCTTAGTTTGAGCGGAAATTAACATATCATCACTAACAATCTCAGCATTCTGCTTGTCATGTGTGATTTGGTCAGATCCTTTCCCTTAGGCCTGTGTGTATGCTCTATCCCCCGCCCGTGCTGCCTCCCCCCCTATTTGCCTTTCCATAGGCGCAATTAACATCGTCATTAACCATTATATAGGTAAATGTAAAACCATATTGTTAAAGAAACATTTGCAACAATAGTAGATATAGCAATTCAGATCAGTATCTCACGTGTCCAGGGAGTGATTGATGTTGGAGGTTAGGTGGATTTTTTGGATACTTGGCGCCAGTCAGGTGTAAGGCGCTCTGCTGGGCCTGTTTTTTTCGGGTATCCGGTTAATAGGCCCCATTCTCTCAGTTGTTTTAGTCCATCTTCTGGCGTGTGTACAATTTTAAGTCCGACATTTTTTTGTGATTAGTAGCTTGGTGGGGTATCCCCAGCGGTACCAGATCCCTTTGTTTCTCCGTAATCTCTTGGAATTCCTTCCTCCACTTAAGGGTAGCTGCCGATAGGTCCGCCATGATTTTTACTAATGGGTAGTCTTCATGGGGTTCCTCTCGATTCCTGCTGGTGCGTAGCACTGCCTCTTTGATGTGAAAATAGTGCGCTATCATCAGGACGTCCCTTGGAATTGAGTCAGGTAAATTCTTGGGCTTTGGAACTCTATGGGCTCTATCTGTTAGTAGCATATCTGTTGGTATTTTGGGAATGTATGCTTTCATCAGGCCTCTGACGTAGGCCTGGAAATCACAGGGGAGGACTGTTTCAGGGATACCTCTTAGTTGAAGGTTGTTCCTCCGTAATCTGTCCTCTGCATCCACCACGCATGTCTCCATTAGTGTCACCTTTTGTTCTAAGGCTGTTACATGGTCAGCTACATCATTATGTGCTGTGGCATATTCACGCATCTTGTTTTCAATGTGTGCTGTCCGATTTCCAATGTCCAGCACTTCTTTTCTCAGCTGTTCGATGGATGTCTGCCAGGTATTTACCAATTTGGTTGACAGTGCTTCCAGTGCTTCTGTTAAGTGTTCTTTAGTGAGTCCCCTTGGGGCTTCTTTGGGATTTTCATTCACTTGGGGTGCTCCCGCGTCCTGATCGTCAGCGCCATCTTGGATTTCGTCCCGTTCTGTTTCGGAGCCCATCACCGATTTCTGATTGAAAAAGTTAATTTTTTCATTTTTTTGAGTAGCCTTCTTGCCTTTAGAGTGAGACATAGTGCTGATTGCTTCTTTTTCTAGCGTTCTGATAGTGGATGGCTTTGGATTAGAGGGCCCGGGTGCCGAAGCAATTTCCTATGCGTCCAGACTGCTCGGCGGTTTGCCACGCCCCCAAATCCCATCGTTTTAATGTGCTATGTATAAGATAGAAAACTCCCTCCCAATCACTTAGCAGGGTGACCTTGCCACACACTGTTAGAAGGATTGATGCAATTATCATGTTTTTGCATCAATGTTCTACTCCATGGTTCTGCATATGGACAGCCATCTTATCCAAGAGGTCCACATCCAAACTCACCCTCTCTTTATCACAAATATCTAGCTATACATTCCTATGCTTCTCCAGGGCTACAGCATTCCTGTGGAACTCACTTCCCTTCTCCATTAGACTTTTACCCAAGCTCCATTGCTTCACAAAACCATTGAAAACTCACTTCTTCAGGAAAGCGTATCAATTAAACTGTTTACAGCTTTCCCTATTTGTACCTGATTCCTCTACTGCAACTGTCAACACAAAAAAAGCAAAAAAAACAAACATTTTTCTAGCAACCTAGTTTTCTACCCCTACCCTTACATTTTATGTCACTATACCCCACTCCCTCTAGCATGTAAGCTCATTGAGCAGGGCCCCCAATCCCTCTGTTCCTGTGTGTCCAACTCATTTGGTTACAATTACGTTAGTCCACCCATTGTACAGCACTACTGAATTTGTTGGTGCTTTGTAATTAATAATAGTAATATACATATGACAGATACATATCTGTACATACACATGTACACAAATACATCACAGCATCCATCCGTGTTAGCATCCTTGCAAATATTGTTGAAACAAAACCAATTTGAAAGAAAAATAGAACAGACAAATACAATTTTCTCTGGATAACAGTGCCAGCTCTGAAATAAATTCTTTACTCGGCTATTTCCCTATGTTAAAGAAAAATATTTCCCAACTAGAGCAAATGTTGCAGAAAATCACAACTAAAATTGGAATTTCCCAAGCAACTGACAGTTCATAAGGAATTACTGCTAATACAGGAGATTGGATTTCTGGCTGTAAAAATAAAGCATTGCAGAATGCTAAACGTACAAAGCCTGCGCCGAGCTTCACTTGAGAATATGACTTTTCAAACTGTCAGGGATATTTTTCCTTCTAGCTAGTCCCATAGGACGCAGAGCATAGAATTGGTAAATTTACTGGCACTGCATCTCGAAACAAAACTGGCAGATGTTCTGCTATTTGACAAGGCTAGACGGGGCAAACTCTCTAGTAGTACATTGTGATTTCTAAAGAGGAATTTTCAACTTATTTAAATTAAAAATACCAAATCTTGTGTAATGCTGCTAAAAATAAAGTAAATTAAAATCCATGATTTGAACAATAATCACATGCTATCTGTAAGATATACATTGAATTTCACAGATTTCCTACTTCATATCAGTGGAATTACATAAATAACTAACAATCCTGTATCACTCATGCAACTTCTACAATATTTAGTAATACATCAATTAATTTCAAAGCATGTTTGCTTCCCAGGTTAACCACATGACTGTATTTAGCAGGTACAGTTATATATTTAAAATATATAGAATCACAGCTCTGATAAATTCTCGTCACCTGCCAGATGTAAACGTAACTTCATGTATAATAGCAGGAAATCAATCACAATGGTTTGAGTTATACAGCAACAAAAGACATTGATCACAGTTAACCCTTTAAAAATCCTTAGATTTGTGCCTGAACCACATATCAATCCCATCAAGCTCAACTTTCACAAACCCCCCAAAATGACAATGATACTAAATTAAGGGGACAGGCTTGGCCACGGCTCTATTTAACCAACATTATAATTAGCAATCCTTTACCTGCTGGCTGTAAGACTCTGACCTACAGCAGGTCTGATATAACACAGAGTTCGGTTCCTGTCAAATACCCATTGGTCTAGCTTTCCGATCGCCGGCCAG